GAGGGGGTGACCGGTACCTGTGCAAGAGAGAGTAGGGGGAGCAGCGGGAGGGGGTACGGGTACTGCAAGAGAGAGAGAGAGGAGGGAGGAGGAGGTGTAGGTACTGTGAGAGAGAGAGAGAGCGGGAGGCAGGCGAGATGAGGGGGTGACGGTACGCTGTGAAGAGAGAGAGAGAGAGGGGAGAGGGAGGAGGTGAAGGTACCGTGAAGAGAGAGAGGGGGGAGCCGCGGGAGGGGTGAACCGCGTACCCGTGAAGAGAGAGAGAAGAGGGAGAGGGAGTGAGGTACCGTGAGAGAGAGGAGCGGGAGCCGCGGGAGGGGGTGAGGTACCGTGAAGAGAGAGAGAGAGAGGGAGAGGGAGGGGGTGAGGTACCGTGAAGAGAGAGAGAGAGAGAGGGAGAGGGAGGAGGTGCCGTGAAGAGAGAGAGAGAAGGGGAGTGTAATGCACTCACAGTACAACTAATCACTGGGGGGTTGGGGGGAGGGAGGGGACGAAAATACCTGTCACCCACGAGACAAGAATAATAAGTAGAGACCCCAGAAATGTTGTCAAAGTGTCGTTGAAATGTTGTTGAAATGTCTCCCAGCGGCCCGCTGTCAGAAACATAGCAATATATAACTATCTGGTTCTAAAATGTCATCCCTTTTGCACGATACATCGTGTGCACAAGTTATGGCATCTTAGACTAATTAAAGTCATAACTCTGTCATAACCATGTCTCTCCCAACTGGCACCTAGTTTCCACGAATCGTTCTCGTTCATAACTAAACACTTTATCATCAGAATTTAATGGTTCGTTGGCCTACATTATTGTCGAATAAATTAGCACGGTTTCAGTGCTGTCGCTATGCCATTAAAATCCGCTAACAACCAAGGGACAATCCTATCCCTCAGTGCCAACTACCCCCCCCCCTCCTAAAAGTCCAGAACCCGTACCTGCAGAATTTTAAAGCTTCACTTCTTAAATGACTACGAGAATGTACGTAAACTCCACTAAACTTCGCAGTCTTCTAGAGCCATCGGCAACCGCTAGCTTCAGGCGAGTTTTCATCTCTGAGGGGATTAATGAAGGGTTAACGATCCGGCATCTTCTGACCGTAGCGACCTCCCCTGCCCCCGCCCACCCTCCCCCCTCCTCCCACCCTCCTCCCACCCGCCACCCTCCTCCCTGCGAGGGAATCGTCACCCCGGCCCTGGCGAAGGAGACATCGCGGAGAAGGAGGAGAGGTACCCGTAACCAGGCGGCCCGGACGAGGGGAAGGAAATCTTCGACTTTCAGACACAGCAGGTAGCGCAGCAGCAGCACCTCCGCGCGCGGGAAGTCTTCCACCGCCAGGTAGCGCTGCAAACAACACGCCGGACGCGCTTGAGCACCGCCAGGGGGCGCCACGTGGCGAAAATACAACAAGCATGCATGCCACGTCAGTATAATAAAATGTGTGTTAGGTACGAAGCAAGGTTATGTTTATGTGTATATGTATATATGTATACATGTATATATGTGTATATGTATATGTATATATATGTGCATGTACGTACGTTTATGTGTATATGTATATATATGTATATGCACGTACGTTTATGTGTATATGTATATATATATATATGTGCATGTACGTACGTTTATGTGTACGTATGTGTGTACATGTATATATATAGTTAACCCCGTGTTCATGTAAATAGCTGTACAGATAAACCCGTATAAAAGGTCAAAGGAAAAGTCAAAGGGACGGAATGGCGGACATTTTGAATTTTCCCCATGAAAGGTATGCAATAAACTCTATACATACGACTCTCTTTAATTTTTCACACGCACACGATGCACTGGGGCGACGATGGCGCCCCCTGGTGCTCACCTGTCGAATGTTCGCGTCGGCGTTGCGGACTTTGTCTTGGTGTGCATCTCACTCGTGAGGTGCCACAGTCGTGCGTAGCGCTTCACAGCCTCCACCTGCGCCCCCTGGTGGAGATCATGCACGATAATGTAACAAAAACCACAAGCTGTATCTAACCCTTAAGCCTAACTTTAACATGAACATAAAGCCTAACCCTGACACTGTCACTAACAATAACTCTAACCCTCACACTGTCACTAACCATAACTCTAACCCTGACACTGTCACTAACCATAACTCTAACCCTGACACTGTCACTAACCATAACTCTAACCCTGACACTGTCACTAACCATAACTCTAACCCTGACACTGTCACTAACCATAACTTACATGCTATGTATATAATTAACATGTACATGTAGCGTATATGTTTACCATGTACATGGTATGTAAGTATTTAATTGTACATGTAGTTATATATTACATTGTACATGTAGGTATATTATTTACATGATACATGTAGGTATATTTACATTATGTATATAATTACATGTACATGCGTAGGTATATATTAATGTACATGTAAGGCTTTATATAATTACATGTACATGTATGGGATACTATTTACATGTACATTGTAGGTAATAGGTCATGTACGATAGGTATATCTTATTGTACATGTAGGTATATGTTTACTGTATGTAATAATTACATGTTTTTTTTTTTTTCTACATGTAGTTGATATGCTTTACATGTACATGTTATATATATTTACATGTAGCAGTAAGTTATATATTTTATCATGGTACATGTACGTATATATTTACATGTACATTAGCGTATATATTCTTACATGTACTGTATATAATTTACATGTTACATGTAGGTATATATTTACATGTACATGTAGTTATGATAATTACATGTACAATGTACCGCTATATATAGTCACATGTACAGTTACGGTATATATTTACATGTACATAGTAGCGTATAATATTTACATGTAATGTATATAATTACTGTACATGTGGTACATAGTACAGGTTACATGTAGGTATATAATGTACATGTACGATGAATACATGTGCACTGTAGTTATATATTACTATGTACATGTACGGTATGATATTTACATGTATGTATATAATACATGCTAACATGTACGGATATATTTACATGGTACATGTACGGTATGTATATTACATGTACATGTTAGACGTAATATTTACATGCTACATGTAGGCATATTTACATGTATTATATATACTTACATGTACCATGTAGGTAATTTACATGTATGTAAATTTACATGTACATGTAGGTATATATTTACATGTATGTAATAATACATCGTACATGTAGGTATATATTTCATGTACATGTAAGTATATATTTTACATGTACATGTAGGTATCATATTACATGTAGCATGTTAGCTATAGATTTACATCGTACATGTAGGTATATATTACATGTACATGTAGGTATAAAACTGACATGTGGATGTGAATGAGCGATTCGGCTCTGTCAAACCTCCCGAAAATAGCTCCCGTAAAATATTTGCATGAGAACTATTTTTCCCACAGACTTGATAAAAGAGCCTCACCGTGGAAAAAAAAGTGATTGCTTCCGCTGAACGTGTGCTGTGTGTGTGTATGATGTGTGTGCGCTGTGTGTGTTGTGTTAATGCGTGTGTGTTGTTTGTCGTTTGCATGCATAGTTGTTGGTGCGTGCAGCTATCGCTTTGTGATAGTGTGCGTGTGCATGCGTGCGTGTTTGCATGTGTGCGTGGTGTCGTGTGTGTGTTGGGCTGTGCGTGTGTGTGTGTGTGTGTGTGTTGCCGTGTGCGGCATGCGTGTGCATTGCATGTGTACATGCGTGCGTGCGTGCGTGTCATGTGTCGTTGTGTGTGCCGTGCATGTGTACATGCCGCTGCGTGCCGTTGCGTGCAGTCGCTGGGTGTGTGTGCGTGCAGCGTGTGTACATGCAGTGCGTGGTGCATACACATTTGCGTGGCCTTACCATATACATACTTACTAGCCCGTCTTGTCCTTTCCCACAGTGTGAAGAATCGACAGGAGGAGCTACGACCTGACCACACACTCGTGCTGTTCGACGCAATCACGGCCCTCTGCCATTTCTGCATGCTCGAACACAGCGCACCCTGTAGCCAGCTCGGCCCGCCCGGTGCTGCCCTCAGTGTCGGTTTCGTGCACCACGACGAGTCGACGAATCCTGGACAGATCCTGAACAATCTCATTAGCTCCGGAAGTGAGGTGAGCGATAAATCTATAACCAATAATCATTATGTTTAATCGTTAATTAATTAATAAAATAAAATAATAAAAATCAATTTTTGTGATAATTAGTGGTAAAACATGAAAATGCGTGTAAAACCTAGCATAAAAATCTTTGTCAGGACAGACATTCCTTGATCTATGCTGTATTCTGGCTTAATCGTTCTTTTGCTGGTTGTCTACCTCCTCAGTTATGATTCTACCTTTATTGCTTTTTTATCGAGTTCTTGCTAGCATCTATCGTTGATAGCATGTGACACGTTCAGTCATTCTATTAATTATTCTACATCGTTCTAAATGTGTCCTTTATGGACAGGTGTCTGTTCTATTGCAGTGTGCTCAGTGTATATTATTGCCACTCAAGATAAATCCCAGTGTCCCTTAATAGAGAGGTTCCATTCTGGAGCCATGTCTGCTAACACAGGTCCGACCGCGCGATCTTCACTCACTTATCTTCTGCATTCTGAGTTTCTGTTTGGCTTCAGGATTCCGCGCAGCAGACGAGGGATGCTGCCGTCGGCAACCCCGTCGTCGAGGCGCGCCGCACCCTCCTCAGCATCCTCCCCCGCATCCTCAGCTGCATGGCAACCGTCTGGGAAGCCGTGTCCGAGTCCGAGCGCCGCGTCGCCGCCGACGACGACGAAGAGGAGGAGGGGAGGAGGAGAGGGGAGGCGGGCAGGACACAGAAGGAGGGGGAGGAAACGAGGAGGAGAATGCAGGAGGTATGCTCGACGATGGAGGAGGAGGCTGGGAGGAGGAGGAGGAAGGAGGAGTCGGAGGGATGCTGGGCGGTGGGCACTCCCAAGGCGGTGAAGCAGCGCATACTGCAGTTTCTGAGTCCGATCGCTCTGCAGCACGGACAAAGCACGCTAGCTGCCGTCGCTGTTGTCTGGAATGAGCGAAGGAAGAGGGCATGTGGCGCGGCAAACAAGAAGGTAACTCATCGTCATCATCATCATCATCATGCATCATCATCACATCCTTCATCATTAGCATCATCAAGCATCATCATCATCATCATCATCATCATTATCATCATCATCATCAGTATGGTTGTTATATTTATAATAAAATATTACACTGTGTATCATGTATCCCTCTATTTATGTATTAACTGTCTATGTATTAACTATCTATGGATTAACTATACTATGGTATAAACTAATCTATGGATGAACTTAATCTATGTATTTAACTATCTATGTATTAACTATCTATGGATTAACTATCTATGGATGAACTATCTATGTATTAACTATCTATGGATTAACTATCTATGTATTAACTATCTATGGATTAACTATCTATGGATTAACTATCTATGGATGAACTATCTATGTATTAACTAATCTAATGGATTAAAAACTATCTATGCGATAACCTTCTATGGATGAACTATCTATGTAGTTACTTCGATTATGGATTAACTATCTATGGATTAACTATCTATGGATTAACGATCTATGTATTAACTGTCTATGTATTAACTATCTATGGATTAACTATCTATGGATTAACTATCTATGGATTAACTATCTAGGGATGAACTATCTATGTATTAACTATCTATGCATTAACTTATTATGTAGTTAAACTACATCTACTGATTAACTGCTCTATCTTATAACTATATGTTGTATTAACTGTCTATGTATTAACTATCTCTGTATTAACTGTTTGTGTGTTATATCAGGTGTTGCCCAGCTGGTGTGCGGAACAGTTGCTATTAGTTGACCTTGTCAGCTCCATCAAGGTCATTCCAACTGACACGCTCATACAGGTGGTGAAGCAAGTGATGAAAGCACCGCCACCTACGAACAAGACAGGGAAGGTAGGGAGCCTACCTCTAACCCCAATCCCAACCCCCTCATCCTCACGCTCCCCCACCCTCATCCTCACGCTCTCCCACCCTCATCCTCACGCTCTCCCACCCCTTATCCTCACACTCCCCCACCCTCATCCTCACGCTCCCCCACCTTCATCTTCACGCTCGCCCACCCTCATACCTCACGCCTCTCACCACCTCGATCCTCACTCCTCCCCCACCCTCTAATGCCTCACACCCGCCACTCTTGTCCTCACGCCTCCACCCCTCATCTTCACGCTCCCCCACCCTCTGTCCTCCACTGTCTCCACCCACCCTTGTCCTCACGCCTCTCCCCACCCTTGTCCCACGCTCTCCCACGCCGTCATCCTTCACTGCTCCCCCCACCCTCCATCTCACGCTCCTCCACCCTCAACCTCACACTCCCCCACCTTTATCCTCACGCTCCCCCATCCTCATCCTCACGCTCCCCCACCCTTGTCCTTTCACGCTTCCCCCACCCTTGTCCTCAACGCCTCCCCCACCCTCAATCCTCAACGCTCTTCCACTTTCATTGCTTCTCCCACCCTCCACCTCTCAAACGCTCTCTGCACCCTCATCCTCACGCTTCCCCACCCTTGTCCTTCACGCCTTCCCCCATTTCCTTTGTCCCTCACGCTCCCCCCACCCTCAACCTCCGCCTCTCCCACCTCATCCTCATGGCCTCTCCCACCCTCATTTCCTCACGCTCTCCACCCTCAACCTCAACACTCCCCCCATCCCTTGTCCTCACGCTCCCCCACCCTTGTCCTCACGCTCCCCCACCCTTGTCCTCACGCTCTCCCACCCTCATCCTCACGCTCTCCCACCCTTCATCCTCACGCTCCCCACCCTCATCTTCACATTCCCCCACCCCTCATCTTCATGCTAACCCCCACACCAACCCCCACCCCTCAACAACTCCACTTCTTAACCACCACTACAATCCCCACCCACCCTTCAACCACCCCTCAACCTCTACCACCCTCAGCCCAACCCTTGCTTCGTTAACCTTTAACACACATTTATTATACTGACGTGGCATGCGCTGCTTGTTGTATTTTCGCCCACCGTGGCGCCCCCTGGCGGCTGCTCTAAAGCGCGTCCGCGCGTGCTTGATCTTTTT